TGTGCTGGTTGGGCGACATAACAGGTTACCGCTACTGTTTATTCCAAAAACATTGTGCGTCTTTCGGAATTAAATTCTAAAAATATCACGTAAATTTCGTTACAATTTCTCAGAAACGATCATTGCGGGAAAATTGTTGGCCGGGACTAAGATTTTTGAACGATCGATGCGATAAAACGATAGTTCGAGGAACGATAGAAGCGGGAAAATGTAACATTATTTTATATGGGATGTATTCGGGACCGAACAAAACGGACGATGCATCCGGGAAAACGATAGTTCCGGGAACGATAGATAGAGGTTTCACTGTAATTTGTCTCCAATAACAGATTTTAAAATTTGCACACAATTAAGGTCTCAGCTGGTGAATTGTACTTGAATGGTTGATACCAAAACAAAGAGTCATCTTTCTTCCTGTAGTGTCTAATGTCTTGTCCTGGGCAAAAAGGGAATAATTTTGTTTCCACTCACTCCAGGGAGAATTTAGAGCCACATTTCAATACAGAAATTATGTAAGTAAATGAATAGTATTTGTCCCATGTACTGTAATGCAGGAAGCAGTGAGTGGATTAAAAAGTAACAATGTCAGAACCTTTCAAAAGAACACCACAACAGTACCTTTGAAATAGCGGCCTCAAGATGAAAGTCTACAGATCCACTGTCCATGTTGCCACTGATCATATATGCCAATGATTCTGTAACATACTGCAACAATGTCATTCGTGCTAGCTTCTCTTGGATGGTCCCGAATGAGTCAATGCGACGTCCAAACTGTAGCCGAGTGGTAGCATGATCCACAGCCTTTCGTGTTACAGCACGCATGGTTCCAGCAAGACATGCTGCCATTCCAAAACGACCATTATTGAGTATATTCATTGCAACCTGCAGGAAGACAGACACTTAATAATCTCTGTACTTCAGATTTGCAACTTAAATCTAGAATATGCTCCATACAAATTTTATAGATGTTTAAAAACTCTATCAGAAATGTTAAATATTAATATTAGGAAACAATATAGTATTCACTGTAACTTTGAATGTTCTAGTGATTCCTTGCTAATAAGATTTTCACTAACATTTTGTAACATAGAAAAGAATCACAATGAAAAAGCATTTATTGGGCATAATTCTTCATAAGCACATGGATGAGGATAATGAACTTACAATTTTTCTGAAGAAGCTTAAGGCATTAAATACCAACAAGGGCATATAAAATATTAAGGCCAATTAACATACGGCAAATCTTGGAAAATATTTCCAAACAATGTAAAAGAAATTCAAGTTCAGTTTCAAAGAGGAAACAAATTCCATAGTTGTGTTATCCATGATCACCTAAAAACATACTGAAGGTCATGATATGTCAATACTTACAACAATAAACAGCAGTTTGAAGTCAATTGTTACAAAGCACTGATCGGCAGTGAAATCATCTGGCAGATACAGCCAGAAAATTAAAACAAATGAAACTGAGGATCAGAACAGTCTGGACAATCCACATTTTTGAACAATTTGTTGTTACATAAACTGAAGATCCACCATTGGGGAGATGGGGAATCCTCTGTATTGAATCACCTGTATCAATTTCCTGTTCCATTACTGTAGATAATTAAGAGACTATAAAATGCAAGCATATTAATCTCTTTACACCTTCAATAAACCTGCTCTCATATCTATGTTGCAAAAACTGCCTGGCTGTTTAATGAAAGAGGCAAACAAAAAATACATTTCTGTGACCAGAGCAACCCTAACAGAACCAGCTTCAACTCAGTTAGTTCAGTGGCAAAGTTACAAGCTTTTATTTTAATTTTTTATCTTCATATCATTCCAAATGAAATATGATTTCATTAAATACTGCAAATTAAACTCTGTTCATTAACATAAAATTAATAACATATGAATAGTCACATACTTTGAAGCCCTGTCCAGCACCCCCAAGCACATTTTCAATGGGTATCTTGACATCCTCATAAAAAACTTCAGCTGTATTGGATGCCTTAATCCCCATCTTCTTTTCTGGAGGACCAGAGGTCACACCACCAAATGAGCGTTCAACAATGAATGCAGTCACCTTATCACGCTCCTTGCCTGTACAAAACACAATTCTCCAGTAGTCACAACCCAGTCATGAGTATGATGACATAAAAATTAAAATAAACTATGTATGTACAAACAAGTTTAACACAGTAACTTTGATTTGGCTAATATGCGCTTATATTTATATATGCATGGTTTATGGGCATGCTGTGTGCTGCTGTATTCTAGAATGTTGTGCTGTAGTCTCTCTGAATTTTATCAATGTTTTTGAGATTGTCAATGATTAAGACTACATAGTGCAATGTCTCTGAAGGCTAGTCATCTTCATAACACTGCAAGAACCTGAACTATCACCTAGTGATTTTGACTGTATAATCTTTAAATTGTCTGGTTATAAAATAGTTGAAACAAATTAAATCTACCTACAAGCCAATCTCTCAATTTACCATACCAGTTTTTTCATCCAAGATGGGTGTTTGGGCAAAAACAGTCATAATCTCTGCCAATCCTCCATTGCTAATCCAAATTTTACTCCCATTCAGGATGTAATGTTTGCCATCTGGAGAAAGCACTGCTCTCGATCTGTAACACAAGAAGAAGCAAGGTGGAATCTGTTTTATATATTATCAACAAGGGCAAGATGGACAAGATATGATGATAAAACTATAAATACATACAATGTGTTTGTTGAAACCGCCCATAACAGAGGAATGTGAAGATTGAAGTATGATTTCAGATTAATAGTTTCTCAAGTTGTGAATGGGACTGAAACAACCCAGGACAGGATTCAATGGCAGGCATCTGAGGACACAGTGCCATGACAACATAGCATCATCTACCCATCAGGATATTCATCAACTATCCTACATGTGCCACAGCATATGTTAGTCATTGGAAAAATGAGTCAAACAGTAAAAAGTTAGTTAATCAGTCAGTCAGTCAGTCAGCAATAATCATTGTACACATCTTTCAATTATATTTACTTACTAACTTCAGTGCAGGAAAATGTTTTCCTTTGAAGTCAGATATAAATACATCAGACATTAATAAAATGCAATGATCAATTTTTTGGACAGCCACACATTTCATAAACTTTTTACAACATTTAATTACTTATTTATTTAGCTAAAATATTAGTACTGAACTCACATAGTCTGTACTTAAAATCAGTCTCTAGTTATCACTGCCCTCTCACCTGATGGAGCCTGCATCACTGCCAGATGAAGGTTCTGTGAGACAGAATGCAGCAAATTCTTTTCCAGTTGTTACTCGAGGCAAGTATTTTGCTTTTTGTTCTGGAGTTCCAAAGAGTAGGATGCCCTGAAACCAACACCTCTTACTGGTAAGTTAACAGAATCACAGAAGCCACAGTAGTATATTTTATTTAGTAAGAGTGTATCATTTTCAGAGTTTAATGGGCAGGACTCCAGAAACCTAACTTATATCTATTAGCCACTTAACAAAATCCACTCTCCAATAAACTTATAGTATACTGCCACCATGGCAGCATCAAATCTGAAACTTGCAGTATACTTTATTTACCTACTTACAGAAGAAACTGTCCCTGAATTCTTGACTAGTATTGGAATGTCACATTACAGTTACACTACACGCTGAAGACAAAGAGTAAACAAACCTCCCTCAGGAATTCTACACAAACTGATGATTTCCTTATCAGAGTTCAATCAAGGACTGTTGGAAAGCTTTCAGTGATTCACAGAAAACAAACATGAGAAAAGTGACACTGTGTCATATACTGAGATTCAAATACTTCTGTGGCAGTAGATATCAGCCTGACAACATGATAAAACCTTGACAGACTTTCAAAAATGTAAATGTCCTTTGAGAAGCTTAATGGTTAATCAGCTATTGTAATGGCAGCAGAAAAAAACTTCCTTCAAAAGCTAACAAGGCAGGCAGAAAAGCTGTCCACTACATTCCATAAGGCCACTTGGGGGAGAGGAGGTGTAGCTCCTACACTTTCTCGACCTTGCCACTAGATGAGGGTAAGTGGTCAGCACCATGTCCTAGCTGCACTTCAGCCCTTGGAAAGGACCCAGTACCTAATGGATATGAGGCTGAGTGGGCCTCAGAACTGGTCTGGATCAGAGGCTAGTTGAAAAATCTTTTGCTCCTACTGTAGATTCAACCCGTCATCCCGTCCATAGTAAGACATTCTACTGATTGAGCTACCTGACACACTAAACAAGGCATAACTGAACATAAACCAACACCAACTACATTACCTTGAATCCGATGGACTGGTGTGCACCAAGTGTGATCCCAACACCTAAGTCATGGGCTCCCACAATCTCCACCAGTCGTGCATATTGCGTGTTACTGAGTCCTAAGCCACCCAGATCCTGTGGGACCTGCAGTCCAAATGCTCCCAATTCCCACAGACCCTCCAAAGACTGAGGCTCCACCTTCTCTAGAGTATCATTCTTAGCTGGGTCATTTACCTCCTGCATGAAACATCACAATTAAAATGATGTGACAGTCAAATACTGACTTCTTTCTGAACTGTAAGTTTAACTCAGTCTTTATAAATGATGATACACTATACAATATATTAAAATAGGTAAAAATCATTTCCACATCCTTTCCAACTCTCAATTCATAATTACTTACCATATGATGCAACTGATAAACTATCATTGTAAATCATACAAATATTCATCTCTAAGCAATGACAGAAGCACAAAGCAGTGAAAGATATTCTGCACAGTGGTTCCAACATGTAACATGGATTTGAATTATGCAACAGAAAACCAGCTTCTAAGCATCAGCATAGATCAGAGGCAAAGGGGTTGAATTACGAAAAGATGACTTCTATATACACTAGAGTGAGATATATGGTGGCTTCGGTTGCAGTACAGCAGAGGATGGCCTTTTCATTATGCACCATCATTGTGTAACTTACCACCACCAAATATTCTCCCTGTATTTCCAGTGCTAATGAGTGAATGTTGGTTAACAGAACTGTCCATAAGCCAATGAGAAACATAATCAGCTATTAAAATAAACTGTTACAAACTTGTACAGAAGCAATGAGTGATTTTTACATCAGTTTAAATTGGTGAAATATATGGGTGTTCAGTCAATGCATTAAATGTATTAATATGTATTAAATTACATATTTTCTGAAATTCTATGCTTCTGTAATTGAACTACACAGTATTAAAAATTCACATCAGGCCCAATTACAATACACACGTTAAATTTAATACATAGATAGACTGTAAAAATATGCACACATTCTGTAAGAAACAGTATACGTGCTGAAATGTCAAACCCCAAACTTGTACAAACATTTCAGGTCATGTATACATATAAAAAGAAGAAAGAAAGAAAATCAAATATGGTATTGAACTTCTACAGTAACAAAAAATTTACACAACATTTAATGCTTAAATGAATAATTATTAATTTATAAATGTTGCTACAAGCTGTGAAAGAAAAGTAGGTATCATATGCCTCTCCCAGAACTACTAGAGAAATAAGTGTAATTCTCTGTAATGAGTGGACAGACACAACTTACAGAAATTTAACAAGTACTGACTGAGCTTTAAAAGTACTTACTATTGGTGTTGGGCATTTAAAGTTTCTGAAGGACAAGGCTTTGTAGGTTTTAATACCATTCATAACAGAAATGTTTTTATAACAAGTCATCATAAATATATAATCTGCTAAATTAGAATAAATCACCAGTTATCATGAACAGAGCAAAATGATTTATACAGTTACCTTCTTCTTCTCATCATCCCAAATAACTATATCAATAAACAGACCTATCATCACAGAACTTTAAAATCTTAAACTATATGCCACTTGTGTTGTTCCCAGCACACAAGTTAATATGTCCCCTCTGCGGTACTTTTGAAGAACAGTAATAAAAAGTAACAAAGATATAGTTTCAGTTTAAGAATTCTGAAGAAAATGTCAGATCAGTGTCTATAATGATGTCCTTAAGTGAATAATAGGATGAAAAAGCAAACAGATAGGCAGTTTGTTAACAGAGTTCTGAAGATGGAATTTCATTCTCTTGCATCCTTACAACTGATCACATAAATTTTTCTTCTCCTCACACATATACACACCTCAAAAAATTTGGCAGTCGGGTCAATGAACATCTTCAGAGTATCTTTCTGTTCTTCATTGAGAACTTGAGGGAATGGGAAAACTTGCGCAGTCTCCATAACACCACGAAAGAGGTTCATGGTGAATGACTGTGATTCCTTTGCCCCACTAGTGGCCTTCTCCACCTCCTCTCCCTTCGTCGCCACTTGAGGTGCCGTGGCTAGCCATCTGGAAAAATATTTTCAACACTTCTTCTTATGTATTGAATTTTACTATGATCTGGGATGGGCAACTTTCGACATAAAAGCCCCTTCATTTTTAATGACCATCGAAGATTTACAAAGTCACTTACTGTGCAACACCTTAGGTTATACCTCTCACCTTGTATTTACTACTGAAAATTCAATTCGTTTTCGTGGAAAATTTAAAATACGCCCAACCCGCAACATCGTGAACATAAGATGTCCAATGAATATGTCAACACCAAACAGCAGAGCTGGTTATAGAATTGCACTTATCCAGTTAATCGACTAAGGATTACTCCTATACCCACATTCACTTCAGTTCAAATGTCCTTCGATTAATAATAGTCTGTCATATTTCGCAACAGTTCACCTTCATAACCTCTTTGACGACGTGGAGAATTGTAAAAATTAATTAACAAGTGTATAGTTTCTCTCCACTTAAGCAATGCGATTTTGCCGTTTCGTCAAAACAAACGGGGTATCGTTTTCTATGCTACGCTTTCAGTTGAGAGAATCAAGGAAGCTATGTGGCTAGTATAGGTGAAGATGGCAAGTATTGTGCGATGAGAGATATGTCATTTATGACGTAGATAATATTTAAATCACTTTAAGAGATAGGTGGTGTTAACCACAACCAGCAGACATGCCGGAGTCGGCTGAGCAAGCTTCTGGTACAACAACGAAGGACACGAAATATTTCAAGTTGTCGTCGGGTTCACTTGGTGGTGGTGATGGCGCGAGACCAAAGGTTGTCACAGTCAAACATCCAGAATCCAACAAACCGAAGCCAACTGTTAAAAAGAATAAACCCATACTTGCGGATTTAGATGTATCGAAAGATTTTTTAAGGTGTAAAGAGGATGGTGAGACTATATTGGATTTAAGCAAGTCCAGTATAACTCAGCTGCCATCGACTGTACGGGAAGTAACCCACCTTGTTGAATTTTACCTTTATGGCAACAAGTTAGTGACTCTTCCTCCAGAGATAGGTTTCTTAGTCAATCTTCATACTTTGGCTCTAAGTGAAAACTCTCTTACAAGTTTGCCTGATGCACTTGCAAATCTGAAGTCTCTTAAAGTCCTTGATCTCAGGCATAATAAACTGAATGAGATTCCTGATGTAGTTTACAAGTTAACATCACTAACAACATTGTTTCTTAGGTTTAACAGAATCAAGGTTGTAGGAGAGGATATCAGGAATTTAACCAATCTAACGATGTTAAGTCTACGGGAGAACAAAATAAAAGAACTGCCAGCAGGTATAGGAAAGTTGGTAAATCTCATAACATTTGATGTGTCCCACAATCACTTAGAGCATTTGCCTATGGAAATAGGTTACTGTGTTCAGCTATCAACTTTGGATCTTCAGCACAATGAGCTGTTGGATATCCCAGAATCGATTGGCAACCTGCAAGCATTAACACGTTTGGGCCTGAGGTACAATCGTCTGAGTGCAATACCACAATCACTTAGTAATTGTGTGCATATGGATGAATTTAATGTTGAAGGAAATGCTATTTCACAGCTTCCTGATGGTCTTCTGTCAAGTTTATGTGATCTGACCAGTCTCACTTTATCAAGAAATGGATTTACTTCCTACCCATCTGGAGGCCCAGCTCAGTTCACAAGTGTGTATTCTATCAATATGGAGCACAACCAGATTGACAAGATTCCGTATGGCATATTCTCACGTGCTAAGAACCTAACCAAACTCAACATGAAGGAGAACTTGCTTACATCCCTCCCATTGGATGTGGGAACATGGGTTAACATGGTGGAGTTGAACCTTGGTACAAATCAGCTGATGAAGATTCCTGATGACATCCAGTTCCTGCAATCCTTAGAAGTACTCATACTGTCCAACAATATTTTGAAACGAATCCCCACCAGTATTGGAAACCTACGTAAGTTGCGGGTTCTGGATCTAGAAGAAAATAAGATTGAGTCTCTGCCAAATGAGATTGGGTTCTTGCGTGATTTGCAGAAACTCATAGTCCAGTCCAATCAGGTAACTACACTACCCAGAGCAATTGGGCATCTTACAAACCTTGTGTACCTCAGCATTGGTGAAAATAACTTGAGTTACCTACCAGAAGAAATTGGAACACTGGAGAATCTTGAGTCACTGTACATCAACGACAACCCCAGTCTGCACAATTTGCCATTTGAACTTGCCCTCTGTACAAACTTGCAGATCATGAGTATTGAAAACAGCCCACTGTCACAGATACCACCTGAGATTGTAGCAGGGGGCCCCTCTCTTGTTATCCATTTCTTGAAGATGCAGGGGCCTTATCGAGCAATGTGAATATCCACAATATGTAGTGAAGCACAGATTATGAAATAAGAAGACTTCAGAATCTCTTGACTGAATGTTGTGTATTATTTGTGAACAGGTTCTGCTGTCTGCATGACCTTGAGTATTAATAAATAGTTGTTCATAATATAGAAGTGGTGAAAGAGAAAGCCAAACTGAGAGAAAAAGTTGCAGTTATTTTGCAGGCAGTGAATTGCCATTTGTTTTTCCACTTCAAAGTAACATTTACCAGTGGTGCAAACCCTTTATAACTGCAGTTCTGAATTTAGAAGCTAAACTAACCATTGTAGGTTTATGTTGTTGAAGTTGCAAATCCTGATTTATGTCCGCATTTCTGTAAAAAGGCTGTTCCCACTGCTTATGGCTCAGGCGGGTGAGGTCTAAAACCCATTTAGGTTTCCACAAAAAGTTTTTCAGAATCCTGTTAGTGAGTTGCATACATCTGTTTATAACTCAGCTATAGAAATCAATAATACAGATACTAATGGAGTTCTGTGAAACTTGGTATGAACATCAAGCCATTAAATACATAAATTTTAACTCCTTGTCACATACAATATCGACATGGCAACCAGCAAACTTGTAAGCTGAGAACAGCATTAGTGCCAAGCAGAAAGGGTCTAATTTTTGTATGGTGACAGACTTTTAAAGTATGTGACTTTAACATAACATTTTGGGGATAATGGAAAGTAACGTAATCGCACAAAATATTTTAGTTTGATGACTTGTAACTTGACATACAAAATTTTAAAGTGAGATAAGTACATCTGCTAGTAGGATGTGTGGCATTAAAACTTTCAAGGTCCAAGCCTTCATAACCCTACATGCACCAGGTGCTTTTAATATGTGTTTGTTATTTGTTGTGAGTTTGAAGTGTCAGATGTTTGGATAACATTTTCCAATTCATGTGGTTAAGATGTGTCACTCAGTAAATATGCAGTGTTCATTTCTGGAAGTAGGTTATGTAGTGGATTTATGTTTGTTTCTCAGAATGTTGTTGTCTGTGTTACTGTACTTAGAAATTAAGAATAACATATATAAATGGTCATACCATATCTAACATAAATGGTTCTATGTAATTGGAGTTTTGTATCATTTTAAACATAACTATGAAATTGAAACTGAAAGAAAAATCATTGTAGAACTGTTTTGCTGTTACAGTATAATAAATTAACTTTCTTCTGTAAACTGTGGTAAGTAATCCAGAATTTGCTTCACTAAATGTTATAAAATGTTCATTTGTTGATGTAACATACGGAATGATTGTCATTGGCCCAACAAAATGTGCTGATTAGCTGCCTGCAAGTGTAAAATAAAATTATGCTTTTCATGTAAACAATTCTAATATGAAATCTGGTTAGTAAGGTCCAGAACTTATTGTCTTTATTGTCTTAGTATTGAACTAAAGGTCACAACAATTAATCAAATGTATCTATCCACTTCAAAACAGTGTTCTTAGAAATTAGGAATAACATATATAAATGGTCATACCATATCTAACATAAATGGTTCTATGTATATGGAGTTTTGTATAATTTTAAACATAGCTATGAAATTGAAACTGAAAGAAAAACCATTGCAAAACTGTTTTGCTGTTACAGTATAATAAATTAACTTTTTTCTGTAAACTGTGATAAGTAATCCAGAATTTGCTTCACTAAATGTTATAAAATGTTCATTTGTTGATGTAACATACAGAATGATTGTCATTGGCCGAACAAAATGTGGTGATTCTGCTGCCTGCAAGTGTAAAATAAAATCTATGCTTTTCATGTAAACAATTCTAATATGAAATCTGGTTAGTAAGGTCCAGAACTTATTGTCTTTATTGTCTTAGTATTGAACTAAAGGTCACAACAATTAATCAAATGTATCTATCCACTTCAAAACAGTGTTCTTAGAAATTAGGAATAACATATATAAATGGTCATACCATATCTAACATAAATGGTTCTATGTATATGGAGTTTTGTATAATTTTAAACATAGCTATGAAATTGAAACTGAAAGAAAAACCATTGCAAAACTGTTTTGCTGTTACAGTATAATAAATTAACTTTCTTCTGTAAACTGTGGTAAGTAATCCAGAATTTGCTTCACTAAATGTTATAAAATGTTCATTTGTTGATGTAACATACGGAATGATTGTCATTGGCCCAACAAAATGTGCTGATTAGCTGCCTGCAAGTGTAAAATAAAATTATGCTTTTCATGTAAACAATTCTAATATGAAATCTGGTTAGTAAGGTCCAGAACTTATTGTCTTTATTGTCTTAGTATTGAACTAAAGGTCACAACAATTAATCAAATGTATCTATCCACTTCAAAACAGTGTTCTTAGAAATTAGGAATAACATATATAAATGGTCATACCATATCTAACATAAATGGTTCTATGTATATGGAGTTTTGTATAATTTTAAACATAGCTATGAAATTGAAACTGAAAGAAAAACCATTGCAAAACTGTTTTGCTGTTACAGTATAATAAATTAACTTTTTTCTGTAAACTGTGATAAGTAATCCAGAATTTGCTTCACTAAATGTTATAAAATGTTCATTTGTTGATGTAACATACAGAATGATTGTCATTGGCCGAACAAAATGTGGTGATTCTGCTGCCTGCAAGTGTAAAATAAAATCTATGCTTTTCATGTAAACAATTCTAATATGAATTCTGGTTAGTAAGGTCCAGAACTTATTGTCTTAATATTGAACCAAAGGTCACAACAATTAATCAAATGTATCTATCCACTTCAAAACAATGTTCTTTTCGATTGTGCACTGTGATGCCAGCAGTCCTGCCATTTGTTGGATTATATCTGGTATTCCTTTAGGATGATGTTTTGATTCCCACATCACTCTGTATGATCTATGGTACCTACAGAAATCCCTTTTATTTTAAGGTACATTTCAGATTAGAGAATATAAAACAGTCATGCAGTTGGAAATTTAGTGAGTGGTGCAGCAGTGTGCTTGACCAAGAATTGTTTTATGCTGAATGAGATAACATTATTATGGCATGCAGGACAAATTGTGTTGAGTGCTACAACTTCACAAATAATCATTCTTCCAAGTACAGGAAAGTGAAAGTAACTAATTCCTCATGTTTCACTGCTGATGGACAATCATAAAAATCTCAGCTCAGTCGGTCAGTAGGCTACAGGCTGGACAACTAGGATTCATTTCCCATCACTGCAGGATTCTTTTCTTTGCCATTATATCCTGACCTAGCCTCCTATCCAGTAATATTCTCTGCCTGGGAGTAAAGTGCCCAGGGTATGAAGCTGACAACTTCTACCTAGTGCTAAAGTTATGAATACATGTACCTTTGAAACACTGGTAAACTTGTACAGACTACACAGTGATACAACCCAGACAACTGTCATCTTCAGGCTCACCACTGTCAAAACCTGAAACCATACTTAAGATATACAATGATTTGACAGGTATTTTATAGCAGTTTTGTTTTCTGGGTTGCAATGCTGTGGTCTTTTAGGTGGTTACCAACATTTCAGGACGTGAAGAGTGTGAGGAATGGTGTGATTTATAATATGGGGTTAAAGAAGAACAGGTAATTGGAATTGTCTGGTTAAAACACAAGGGATAAAGAGGGGAAGTGTGGATTGTCTTGGGTCAATATGAAAGAGCCCCCATACAGGAAAGCAGAGAGGAAGATTATGTCAGAAAAGAACCCTTCTATGGGCCAGGAGAGTAAACACTGGTGGTAGATATAGCAACCAAAAGGTAAATAAAAATATTATAGAAGTAAAGGGAATTCAACATATTTGAAGGAGATATCCAATTCCAGACTTAAATCAATGAGATTACCGATGTAGTGATATAAATGAGAAATAATTTTGTGTGTACAAGTTTTTATCAGAAATAAATGAACATCAAGGGTCAGTGAGGCATGTAAAATTACAGAGAATATGTTATTTTATTTTCACACAGTTATAATATAAGCCAGTATGAGATTAGATGTCACTTGAAACCTTTTTCCAGTGTATCACCATGTCAAAAGCAGCAAAACTTTGAACACATCCAAGTTTATATTGAAATACCCTGCTATAATTTGGCACTTTGTGAACAATTAATGTTGATGTGTGCTAGTTTATTTGATAGTGATTTCTCACATTCTTACTGTACTCTATGTTGCATATAAACACAACTGAAATGTCTAAGAGGGTGCATTTAAAATGCATTTGATCATGGAATATGTGGTCAGTGACTACTGAAACAGAAAGCAGATTTGCTTAGATTCTTTTTGTTCCTCATTACCAACTGCATTTTCAGCCCAAAGTCCTGTATGACCCTTCTGAAGTTCACATGAGAGAACAAAACTGTTAGTACCATTGTAATGGTTGGTAAATAATCCTAAATTATGCAACATATTTCTCTGGTAAACCTATGATACCACATAAAAACCAAAAATCAGGCAAATATTTTGGTTTTTTTGTTTGTTTACATTTTCCAGATTCAAAGCCAGCTGTAATTCAGGTCACAAACAGAAGCTGTCCAGCTTCATAAAGTATTATATTACACAAGAGAATAACTAAGGTACTTACCTATTACTTATAAAATGTGGTCACTGGCCATTGCTAACAGACTTAGCCTCACTGGTGTATTTAGTTCATTGGAGTCAATAAAGCAACAGAATCTATCATTTAGAATGTTACAGTAATACAGACATGATGCGAGTCATGTGGGATGCAAAATAAGTCACTGTGTTCAGTGAATTTGGTTGTATTTTGTCCCAATGCCAGTTTGTTGCCACTGTTTGGAAAGCTGAATATTGTATTACTTGATTAACATGTTTACAGGAACTGAAATTTTATTTCTGTCTTAGCAGGAATATTAACCCTGAAACCATACTATAAATTAATTACTTTGAATACCATGAAGATCTGTAAGCAGATTATCATTCCAATTATTTGCAGATTCATCCTAAGTTAGTATCTTGTGTCATTCCAGTTACTTATATATTCTTCTTAGGTTAGTATCCTGCAATTTAATTGATGTTTCTGTACAGATCTTCAGTATTTTTTGATTTTGTTCTTGGATTCATGCTCATTGTCCCTTCTGGCTTATTATACTGGGTGTCCACTTCGCCAACACTTTACCTGCTGTGAAGTTTGATGAAGTGTCATTGAAAATAATAGCAGTTTAACATGTAAGGAACGTAACCAATATGAAATGAGGAGACATAGAAATTCCAAATAGTGCTGGAAATATGAAGATGAATTAGCTGCAAGGGGCACATAAACAATTAATGATCATTACTGACTAAAGTGAATTAACATTGTGCCAGATGTATAAAAATATCATAGTAATTTTCTATTACTTGATGTGGGTGTTAACACAAGACATTGTTTTTGTTATATACTGCTGTAGAGAGAATTTTCAGTGTAATCTAAGCTGTTCTTGTTTGTGAGTTTCTGTTGTGTATGAAATATGTAAACATGTATATTTTTACTCCAGAAAGTCATCGAAACAAAGACCTACATATAAAAAAATTGTTACATATTGCTATATCCATTACTTTGTATTTTTCAGATTGCAGTCAGTTATCATCAGGTATTTCAGTTACTTAAGTGCTAATATCTTAATTTAGAAGTTGTCCCGCTTTTCAGACAATGTGAAAAATTTACCCTTCAGAACCATTTCATTGTGACTGAGCTAGTTACAGAACAAAGCTGAAAAATGTTAATAAGGAAAGGTGAGATCTGTTTGGCTAAAATCAGATGTAGAGTTTTCAGAACATTTAAACAAGTGGCACTAAAGTTTAACAATAATTAAAATATAGCTGTCAAGCATAGTAATAAAATTAATCACTAAAATCTGTTCTTGAATACACAAATCATATTAAATGAAAGAACTCTGTTGTAATTTGTAGCATTACTTTAATAACTATGTCGTACAGACTATGTTTATGTAGTGCATGTAGTTTATGTAGTACCAATGAATATTGTGTAACCGTAGAAACCAGCAGTGGAATTGTGTGTGGATATATATGTATATATGAACCATAATAACATGACAGTCAGTTGATAAATATTAAAGGAATAAATTACATTATAAATATTATTGTAATATGAAATAGAAGGGTTAGGATAATGACTGGAACTATCGTTACTCATGAAACACTGTTAACCTTTATCATATGAGAACAGGAGCTTTAAATCCCTGTACTATGGAGCTGCCAGTGAAATTTTAACTACAGGGTTAATGATTTAGCAGTATGTTACTGTTATGCACAACCAGTCAGTCTGACCATGTGGAAGCCATGTTACTCAGTTGATAGAAGTTAAGGGGGAATAATAATTAATATAGAAGAATATGTGGAAGTCATAAAACCTAAATGGCTGAGTCTGTGGAAACTGAAATACAATTTAATACTTATTGTTCTTAATAATTGCATTAATTATTTTTGTTTTATAATTACACGGAATGAAAGAAATTATATAAAGAGGTGTAATAAAATATGTGATAAGGAGGGCTGTGTTTGTTGTCCTGGAGTTGTTGACTCTTATAAATGTTAAAAAGCAAGGTGGAACACATTTGTAAAAAAAAGACTTGCTAAACTCTAAAAAGAAAAGAAATTTCAATGTATAGTACCATTTTTAAGACATACCAATAGTGGTTAAATTTCATGTTCTCAAAAACAGTTGAAGCTAAAATATATAAAAACAGGATCAGAAGAGCAATTCTGTCTCAAGCAGAATATATCTCCATAAATAATTAGCTGTACTCTTTGTAATTCCATTTATTGATTGGTTCTTGCAATGCATTAACTTTCTTGATTCTATCTTCATCATTAAACATCTTTATTATTAAATTTGAATCCAATGTATTTTACTTCTCTTTTACAGTGCTGCATTTTGTATTCCTGAAATTGAATCTCATATTTTAGTGCACATTTCACAACTTCTAACATTTTATTGTGCTCTACATTTGTATCTGGAGCTATGAATAAGTCATCAGAATATGCGACACCTTCTTTGTCACCAAAATACATAGTATTCAGTTTTAAGATCATATCTGGAAAAACCATACGTCTTGGAACAGAACTCGTTCATAAACCAAGAACAGCAACACACTCAGATCAGTATATTTTGCCTATTTTCACGGTATAATGAAGTATGAAATAATTTTTTGGGGCAATTCATCTTAACAGCAAAAAGATATTCGAAGATTGCTGTCTTCTGGGTTATTGCACTGTGTAGTCTGGTATATATACACCAATGTTTCACAGGTCATACTGTCTCTGTCATCAGACTCACCTCTGTGAAAACCTGAAATCCTACAAAAAGATATTCACTTTACAAAAGAAAATTGTTAGATTAATGGCTGGTGTCAAACCTAGAAATTCATGTACAAGTCTATTTAAAAGATTAAAGATCTTAGCTCTTCCTTGTGAATATACGTATATTCTCATTAATTAACTTTACTGTAAATAACCAAGAACTTTTCCAAACTAATTCTGTTATACACATTGTCAACACAAGGAATAAAAATCAGCTTCATAGACCAGTTGCCAACCTCTCATGTTTTCAGAAGAGTGCATATTACGCAGGGATCAAAATTTTCAACAGTCTACCATCAAGTCTCACAAGTCTTGTAAATAAAAAGACGCAATTTAATGTAGCATTAAAAAGATAATTACACAATCCTTTTACTCTGTCGATGAATTTCTATTGTTTACAAATAAGTGATAATTTATCTTCTGTTTGTAATTGGTAGATTTATTTGTAACTTATCATTACTTTAGGTGAACCGGGATAGCTTAGTCAGTATAGTGACTGACTACGGGCTGGACGACTTGGGTTCGATCCCCGATGGGTAGAGGATTTTTCCTCTAGCCTCTGCGTCCAGACCGGCTCTGGGGCCCACCCTACAATGGGTACCGGGATCCTTTGCCAGGGGTAAAGCACGGCCAGGGCGTGATGCTGACCACTCACCCCCATCTGGTGCCAAGGTCAAGAAAGAGTAGGAGCTATACCTCCATTCCCCCCAAATGACCTACATGGTGTATAGCGGGACAGCTTTACTTTTTTTAGGTGAACCCTGTGTTTGTATTATGTGAAATTTATATAATAGTATGAATTGTACGTTATATGTATTGTATTATTATTATGACTTTTTCCACATCCTATTGTCATCTGACTATCTTATAGATCCATGGAATGTAATAAAGATCTATGTATGCATGTATACACACTGGGAGCAAGATAACTGCTGGTTAAAGCATCAATCTTCACAGTGACAAAACTGATGAGATTAACAGAATAGGTACATTTATCATCCATATATGATGTGTCCAACATTTTGTACTGATATATTATCCCCTTATGGTTGAGGCAAAAATTTCCATTAGCAGCAGCAAGAAATACATTCCTTCAATCCTAAACAAGAGATACAAAATATTAAATTCAAATAACATTTATAAGTCAACAACATGCAATGGCAGATTTTGCACATACTGTGTCTATAAGGAATGACAGTAACAGGGTTAAATAAAAACATTTGTTGAACGCAGTAATGTCTCGACAACATGAAGGGCTTATTGATGTAATGTAAAACTGTATATTGTGAATTATGTACAAACTGTTCCAAAATAAATTGACTGATTACTGTGTTAACCACTTTTATACATTCTGGATTTTTTCAGACAAATTTCTACTTACTTCATCTGTTCAGTGATTTACTTTCCATTTTTTCACTGTGAACATAGTCACTGCTACCACTGTTTGTTTCTGAAATGTTATTGCTTTGTTCACCTCTTTATGACCTTGCTTGAATCAGATTGTTTTATCAGAGTGGAGCCTGCTTCAACAAGACTTTCCATCTGTTCTGGAAATTACATTGGCCATTGTTACCAATACTTCCATCTGTTTAGGAATTGCTTAATGAATTCTTTCTCTGCACTGATTTCAGATCTCTTTCATATTATTCCATTTATAATTTGACAGAATTTAGAAGTTTTGCATTTCTCTGCTGACCCCTCCATACATTTCACTTAATTTATTTCACTTCCCAAATAAATGTGTTCCTGTAACAAGTGTGTCATTAACCCTCATTCTGACTATTAAGTTCTATGACATACAGGGTTAAACAAGCTAAATAATACGGGACTCCCATTCAGTTAATATACATGAATTATATAATCCCACACAGTGCCATCTTCAGCTTCAATATGCATTTGTTAATTATAAAATATGAAGTCTGAGTTTCAAAACATGTACTGCCATACTTACCTTGTAATACTGAAAACTATTTAAACTTTGGTATTTAACAGAACATGGCTCAATTTGTAACAAAGTTATGACAATTTAAATTTTGGAATTTTTCCTCCTTGGCCCCTCTGCCAAAGTATCCTAATAAGGTTCTATGACAAAGGCTTTCAGCCAAAGCAGTCCCTCCCTCTCTGGGTTGAAACCCCACAGAACCAACCAACCAAATTTTTTTGGACAAGTTGCCTGATGGGATAACCTCCCATCAGCAGCAACAGACCCTAGTTTAAATGGTCGAGGCTCCCGCCACGACGGAACCGTTAGCATAAGCAAATTCCCGTTTTAGTTACAAGGCTCTGTTTACCATTTCCAGTAATGTTTCGTACGCAGGAATGGTGTTAACTAGGAAGGGACGATGTCTTGCACAGGACTCTGCCCTTAGTTAGCTTTTTGGTTGGAAATCATGTCTTTCTAGTAATCACCCATGGCACTACATCAGAACAAATTACGAGAATTATTACACAAATTATTTAAATACTACTACAATATCCGTCCACTATGAAGCACATGTCAAAAGCAGTACTACATCACCTCACGATATGAACAAGCGTGCACAAGTATACAAAACACATTTCCACAGTAATCACTTTTGGCATGTCACTAGATAATTTTATGAAAATATTACACATTATTATTTTAATATGCATGAAATATGAACATGAAAGTTATAAAGAAACACTTACCCCTAAATAATTTAAATGACTCGCAGGAGTATTCAATTATAATATTTCCAGTGGAATGTCCACATTGGTGACCAATTTCTCAATGAACGATAGTTTACAGTTTAAATTGTGTTCAAACTGTAGTTGAGTGGTAGCATAGAAATATGAAGTCAGGACTGGATCTCACAAACAGCAACCAGTATTACCACATATTTGCAATGGCCAGTTCTCTAATGGTAACTATACTGGGAACGACCTGTTCTTCAAGTGCCCGAGCACTGCGGGTCCCAACTTATCGTTGACTTGATCTATAGACATTCGATAGGACTCCTTGGACGAGGGATCGGCCCGTCGCAAGGCCCCTACCTGTACACAGGACAGCACAACACAGAAAAACACGGACAAACATCCATGGCTTGAGTGGGATTTGAACCCACGGTCCCAGCGATACAAGGCCCAAGCCTCAGACCACGCGGCTTCTGCGGACCCCAATGGTAACTATGATAGTATTAATATAGAGTTAGACATATGGGAGTCCTCAGCTAATGTAAAAAACAATTTATGGACTTTTAAATGTTAATGAAAATATAAATACTATTTAGGCACAAGCTGTAGCTTATTTAATTTGCACTTAAATCTGGCTTTGAGTTTAGAATCGGAACTATGGCCAGACCTTAGTCATCAGTACTCGGAGAGAAATTATAAAGTGGGCAGTTCTAACATAGTGGATGCATGCTATAACAGAAAAACTGCAAACTGTTGGTGGGTAGGTCTCCAGTGGAGGGCCCAGCATTTGAGAAGACATGTTTTTCATTACATTTCATAACAAAAGTAGATGTATTTAACAACTGTAAGATGTTCCATTAAATGCCACCATTTAAATAGCAGTCATGCTCAAATGACAATCATTTACAAATTGTGATTTCCTGGGCTAGTATTCAAACATTTATGATATAATGAGGTTTTAAAACATGTGGTACTATTCACTTGTTAAACATATTTATTGCCTTTATATTTAGAAATAATCTGTAACAAGTGGACAATCAAAACTGTAGCTAAACCAAAGTAATGCTACTTCATTTCCAAAAGTCCTGAGTGCTGGCAGTGGTAGCAGTTATGGGATTGAGGTGTGAATGGCATACATTACTCTTATGACAATATTGTGGCACTTGGCAATTATGAATAACATCTCACACATGGAAATTAAAACACTAAATTAAATTAATACAGTTTATGCTAAATAAAACAAAGATACTTTTTCATCTTTTATACATGAGGAAAAATAAGGATTTGATTTCATTAAAAAACTTTCACTTTTTCATCATATAACTGTATCTTTTTATGTCCTACTGAAAAACAACATCTGTTATATCACTCTCCTTCATTGCTATGTACTATTTACATAAATCTACCAATTCTCAAGCTTGATTTTTAAAAACCATAATATAAACCATCTCAGCCTCTCATAGAACATTATGTCACTCAATTTACTTATCACTTTCAAAATTTAACAAGAAGCATGCACATTTATTATTTAAAGTTCATGATGCTGTTTCTTCACGGCAGTGATTGATTGCTTACTTCACTTTTCACGAGTCTCCACCAGGTGTGCCTCGTGATATATGATGGCAGTGTATTACAACTGAACAAGCATGGTGGCAAAATTCTCAACAGGCTCACATTTATTCTCCATAAGAACAAAGAACAACAGAAGCATGTGTATCCCAAACCCTACACCCACCCTCAGAGCAAGTAGTCAATGCAAAGTTTATTTGAAAAAAAGTAAAATGAAAAAACATGATTAGAAAATGTTTCATTGACAATGCTATGAAGTCCTCCTCCATGGAAATTAATAACCACTGCAGATCATACACCAACTGATAGCTCAACGTTGCAAAGGAAAACAGCTCTGCTCATAAGAAGTGACATACCTGGCCACCATATAAATGGTGTCATTTTGGTTTACTTTCTTGAATGACAATAGAAGTGCTGAAGCCCACCCCCACCCACCCACCTTAAAAAAAGGCACAGCTGGCTCATGAAGAGACGAGGAAATCTCCTCAGATTTCAGAAATCAAATTTTAATGAAAGTGCAAACATTTTCTACAAAAATCTTGACTTTGTGCACATGTACAAAACTTTGCCTCGCTGCTTTCAATCAGGTTTGCACAAGTCACAGAGCCGAACACTACACTATGAATCTTGTTTCCATGTTGAAGGATTCAGGTACATTGACAGACAAATACTGCAATAGGCAACTTGGTAGAACTCAGCTCAGATTCCTTCCCCAACTAAAAGTGGCATGCTTTGTCCTTGACTGAATGTGAACAGCTGTCTTCTCAGCCTGTTTTCATAGAGTTCAGACATTCCCAAATCACATAACAGAATAACAAAAATATTAACTGGAACCAAATATACTTGGATTTAGCACCCTACAAGAGTGATCAGGGTTGGCAGTTAAGAATACTGAAAACATACCACTCACAAATTAAGCATTCATGCTTTGTTAAGAATAGACTCCTTAACGAACATACGCTTGAAAATATATTGTGTAATACAATACAATTGGGTCTTAACCACGTACAGGTAATCCTCGATTTACGCCGGGTATGCGTTCCTGGAGGAACCGGCGTAAATTGAAACTCCAGTCAAGGGAATGTTTTTTCGATTCATATCATCCACCCATAGCAACAGTAATTTCTCTATTCTTTCTAAAAGTTTACTTCTGCTATAACTCACTTGCGTTGCACTTACTCTCGTAGCCTGTTGCATTGACGGTTTTATTTTATATGAATTTTTCATTATGGTAGTCACATTTGGCCAGTGTTCAGTGTATGCTGCTGGTTACTGAAATATAAAGGAATGAACTGTCCTCAAACATGACACATATAACCACATCCATGGTAATGCTACAATAATCAGTCCACTCAAATTTCCTAACCCAACAAGTTGTTTCTCAGCTCTACAACCGTTGTGGGTTTTCGTCACCTCCTTTTCTGAGGTTTCTTGGTAGTGGTCATGAAGTATTGAGTGACCAGCCCACTGACTCTGCACAATTTCTACTCAATATTGATTTGACTGCCAGAGCCATCTAGAAGTTAATATGGAGTCTTGGGTGAGAAATGGCTGCTAAATTTTGCTTACAAAACATCTCGTATTGTGCTCGTAAGGTTCTTTTACATGTCATAAATCTATGACAAATCTATGAAGGAAGTTGTGCTACCTTGGGTCCAGTGGCGAGCACGCTAACCATTAGTCCACCAAGGGCCACTAACTCAACAATTCGCCCAAAATGGACCTGCACTGGAACCATGCCAAATGGTCGGCAACTAGAAGGTCAAAATATCCAATGTTAAGGCAACATCTTTATAAATAATGCATTAAAGAAGTACCTGAACTCAAACTCAGTGCAAAATTGAGAGAATTAAAAAAGAATTCATATCAGTGATTACTTTTGCCTATGAAATGTACCATAACACTTACACTCACAGATGTACAAGAGTATGTGGAAATGAAACACCACTGTTAGTACCTTAGAGGTATAAAACTTTCTGTAGCATATTCAGGTTAACATACTTTGATATAAATGTTCTGAACTTTATAGGAGTATATAAAAGTTCCAATCATTGGACATGCAAAAGACACATTTTAATACAGGAAATGCAGAAAAAGATATATCTCAACATTAAAATCAAATCTGATACCACCTTAATAAAAGTTAATCTGACTTTAATTTTACCATTCATGAAAACAGCTGGTGGAAACAAGAGAGAATAGCAGTATTTAGCAGTTTTTCAAATGAACTGGAGCTTTTCTGTTACATTTAGTGGTTACAAATCTGTATCTTACTTTTCAATTACATATAAACTGAAAATAAATCATGATGCAGTTATGTAGCATTCCTAAATTTGATTTACTCATCGTAACTGCGTATTTTCATCCTTATTACATGTTCTTTGCTTTAAGGGCATATCAAGAACGCTTTATGGGTTGGTCATATCTGTCAGTCCAGTCTATTCCACTCGAGAACCAATGGATGGATTTGAATGAAATTTATATGGAGACTGTGCTATTCTGCACGACCTTAAAACCATACTTTCAAATATCGTATGAGTGGTTATAACAAAATAACATGAGGGAATCTGTATGGTAAACACTGGGGTGCTGTGACATCATGGCCGAAGTGGGAACCATCAAACAAGTCAGATTTAATACCTTTAAGTGCACACTGCAAGGAATGCATGAGGATATTATGTGTATTCTGGTATTCCAAGCTTGTTTAAATTTAAACCAGCCAAAAAGAACAAAAAAATTCCCCTTTACAAAAGTTTTTATGTTCAAACTATGCAGTTGGAACTACCATGTTGCGTATCACTTTGGACAGCCACAAAACAATAAACAGCACACAAACTTACGTCAAAAGACAATGTCAGCTTTCCTTCGTATTAAACACATTGTAACCATAAGTATAATGGCCACATGAAAACCACATCCATGAATTAGGTAGAATAATAGGAAACAAGAGAGAAAAAGAAATGGCCAGCCCTAACTGAAACATCAGATTGACCTTAAAACCAACCCCAACACCATTCTTATGGAGAATAAACTCAATACACAGGCAGTGGTACATGTGTGCACTCAACTGAATGGTATAATTTATTTCCTGCATTAAAAAAAGTCAGGTTTAAGTTTTTGGCAGTGAAACATCAGTCTTTTATCACAAAAATCACATTTCTTAAAGTATATTGCATCACTTGAGTTCTTCACTTAAATAAGAAAAATGCCATGGCATATAGAAAACAAGTCTGATGTGGGCCATCGTTCTAAAATTTAATGCCCCATAGCTTGTAATGGCTTGACTCTATGTAGCTTTACCAGGCACACAATCTATAAGAAAGAACACAATTTTTTTCATATTCACTAAAAAGGGTAGAAACATTCCTCCAGTGAAAGACACTAAAAAAGAGAAATAATTCAACACAAGTAACAAAGTGAAACATGCAAAACATGTTTTTCGTGTAACAATGGATATGATTTTTTCCTTGGAAATCTTTGATTTCAATGTACTTCACATTCCATTCACAATTTCTCTTTTCAGAGCATAAAAATAACCAGCATTTTTATTTTCCAGAACTGAAATTACCAGTTTAAAGCATTCGGTATTCTGAGAGCAGCCAAATATGATGGACTTCAGCATCCTCTTCAATAAGTTACAAGCGTGGTAGAGGGGGGGAAATATTCCATGAGATCACCCGTTTCAGAAGTTTTCTTTTTGTTTTCGATGTTACTTCTTTCCCCCATTTCATATAAAGTTTTAAGTCACTTTTATTTACAAATGTCTACCACTTTAGTTTGTACAGCTCTTCTTTATACATCCACCCAAAATTCTTTGATGAACTAAATTATCTCCACCTTGCATATTCTTCTGTTTCATACATAAGTAATTTCTTACATTATCTTCAATTCTATGTTATGTACATGAGGACAAATTTCAACTTAACCTTTAAAACTGATATACATGCCACTTCTATCCCGGCCACATGTTCATCATGTCTATCTTGTTACATTGCTCAATTCTTCTTCTAACTCGTTAAAATATGTTCTGAGATCATATATGTATTCTTCACAGTCATCACCAATATAAAATTAAAATTGGTTTCGAATATATTTCTTGTCTAATGCCTTTATAATAACATAAATTATGCACGTGTCTTTTGGTGCCTCTAACACAATGGCTACTGAACAAGACAGATGCCATATTATTCAATGTTCCAAGATTCCGTTAATTGGGAAAGACCGGAAAAATCCATCCCATCAGTCGACTGCTACTGACTCCCGTCATCATGAGACAAGATTTCCAACCTGGCTGGTGCCAGGACTCTGCTGTAACACACATAATAAATTCTTAAGTTATAAGTGGACTGCAGGACTTCAGTAAGTTTCTTCTTCAGAGAAAATAACTGGAAAGTATCGAACATTTTTATTATATAATTTAATTTTAACATCCAATGCAGCAATAATTAACAATTAAAAATGTCAGATATAACACAGCCTGCCTTACCATTCAGAATGATTGAAGTATGTGGCATGTAATTAAATGAGACACAGCAACTGAGACGACTTCACATTCTTTGACATGCTTGACTTCTGACAGTACTATACATTCAGGGTTCGTGACATTAACAATTGAACATCTAACCAAACTACAAACAACAGAAATGAGACTGAAGAAAAACTAAACATAATAGGATTACAAACCATATAATAAAGATTTTGAATGTTTAACTATGAGAAGGGAACAGGGAATTCAAATATGCATTAATACTTGATCATCATTCAGTGCAGAACTCCCACTGCTCCATTATCATTGACTTTAACATATGTATTACAAACGACAGTAATTCATAAAATACTCACACCCAACAAACCATTCCTGATGGCCTTCATAACCATTTGAAATATTATGCTAGTTACTTTATTTACAATTACAAGTCAGTTTTCAAATGCTAAATCAGAGAGGGTACAGTATATTCAGGCAAACAGAGTATATGCTATACAAGATGATTTGAAAGGCCTAGTGTGAGACTCAAATATATGACAAAGACATTCAAACATCTCAAAGAAAATAAATATGACAGCATGAGACCAAAATAAAAAAAATGAAGACTAGAAAATGTAAAAAGCAATACCTATGCATGTTTCACCAACATTTCAATATAAGGCATCAAACTAGTTACAAATGTAACATTTGTTTTACCACAGGTTGCAGCATGAAGTGGTCAAACACCTCACACAGCTCATCCATGCGGTACTCCTCTAGGCACACGAAACCCTCCAAACCTGGGGCCTGCTTACGGGCACAATCCATGCAATGCACCACATGACGCTTCTCCTGCTCACGTATGAACAGGATGTTGAACACCTCAATCTGCAGGAACCCATGCAACAGTTTTAACACAATGCAAGCTGTGGGCCTACACATAAAACACTTTTCTGCCAGTGAAGTGATTTAGCAGTGAAGGAAAATTCTGATCTGGCTGGTTTTCAGTTATGTAATTCATATACCATAAATGCAAAACATTTAAATACACTGTTTGCTTTGAAGCTGACTCTCTATGCAAGTGTTACTAAATTAGTATAAAACCAAACACACTTGTCTATTTTATGACTTATTTTCATCATTCAAAATAGTTGTAAGCAGCTATATAACCAATGCCATAGGTATACCCAAGAATGCAAAAGCTTTGTTCGCACACACGTATATGTTATAGTCTTTGTATTTTTCTCGACAGGTTTCTGGTTAAAAAAAAATAAGCATGACATGACTAAGTTTTAGAAATGTATGTAATTAAACTTTCAAATCAAAAAAACACTTTCGACACAAACAAATTAAACAATAAGAGGGAAAAAATAATTTAAAGAGGTATGTTTTAATTGTTATCATATTTAATAAATCAAAAAGGTTATTTACTTTTCAGATACAAGTACTACACAATATTTTCATAAATATTTTATTTGAATACTATGACAAAATAGTACAGAGGTTAAGACTGTAGTGGCAGCATAGATACTGAAATAATGGGAATGAAAAAAAAATCAAACTAAAAATCACACATTTTATAGAAGTTATCAAAAACTATGTGCACTAACCTCACACTGCCCACAGTAGTGAGATGCTTCATTCTTTCCTCGCCCATGGAAACGCACTTCAACTCCCTTGGACTTGACAAATTCCAAGATGAGTGAACATTGACGCAATGTCCGTAGCAAACAGTTTCTGGAGAACATATAACAGACAGGTTTAATTTACACTGGAGTGGAGACTGTAGAGTATTTAGACATTTCTTCTATTACATGCATATAGAAATGCTTAATGTGGTATTTGTACATGTAGTAAGCAGTTGGTTCACAATATGGCATCAATGTGAACAGTTTGCTTACATATGAAAACAATCATCTCTGAAATATTAGTATTTCAAGGTGTAAAATACAGTTGCAAAAACTTGCTACTATGTTAAAGTGGCTAGGCTGCAGCGATAAATTTCCAACAGGTGTCAATGTAATGGCATTTTAATAGGCAAACTTACTTGCAACCTCTTATGTCACAAGATCTATAACATTTGCCCAAATCATACATCATATACTTGTGCATTTGTGCCACAAGGTACAACCAAACATCATAACACCATTCACAGTATGTACTGAAACAATTAGTAATTTAACTGAACACACACTTTAATCAAATTTGTAGTGTCATTTTTGGTCATTTTATTATCATCACCACTATGAAAGAATAGCACACTAATGTAACGGTCATTAAAAATTATTAATTAACCCTTCAGCGTGGAGTGCCGAACATCGCTCGTCATGACGTAGTCGACCCATGGCGTGGAGTGCCGAACACTGCTCGCACAAAGCGCGCTAAGATTTCTCCTTCTACGTAGCAACTGACCTTGTACTTTATGTATTCTGGCTCCAGTAGCCGTGTAGAGAAAGAATCTGGCTATCGATTGATATATAACATGACTCTGACAGATCGATTTTACCAGTGTTTTTCGACTTTGAAACATAGATCGATTTTTGAACTCAACTGCATTCAGCCTCTGCTTTGTGGCTCTCTCTAGGGAAGACAAATGGAGTAATATATTTAAGGTTTCGACGGCTGTGTGGGACACATTCCAACCTTTCTAACGGTATATGATGTCAACGACCTTAGTCAATGCATTCTCTGTTCTCCCCTTGGTAAGAACAGAATTCTATAGTACATATCTGCCGTCAGTCAGCCGTGAATATGGCTTCGAGTAGCAGGCGTTTTTTGTCTCCTCAAGACATTGCTAGAAGTGTAGACGAACCTCTCACTGATTCCGAAAGTAGCGTGTTCGATTCAGATGATGAATCAAGTGTAATCGATGATTTACCTGTTCGTGAATTTCTTACATGTGACGAATCTGAAAATGAATACAATGACGGTGAACAAAGTGGGAGCAGTTTACCGAGTGTGGCTGTTTCAAGATATTCCACACAAAACTCAACTTTTAAGGTAAATTTTTTACCTTTCTATAAAGCATAGTGTGTTGTGAACATTTTGTTCAAAGTTTCACTAAAATTCATCAATTATTAGGGAAGTTGTGCCCATATAAGTAAAATGATGCACTTTCAGCTCAAAATTAAATCCCCAAGCAGAAACTCCTCCCACAGCACGGTATAGACTTGGGATTTAAATGCTCCCACGCTGAAGGGTTAAAACTCACATTGCATTTTGCCTCATACAGTGGAGCATTGTTTGGTTGGTTAGTTTGTAGGTTATTTAAAGATGCTGTCTCAACAAATTGGTTCAAGTAACATACCAGTCAGCCACACAGGTTATACTTAATGGCACAATGGTTAAATGATGCATTGGAGATGTGAAAAAAAAAGTAGTTATGGTCTTTCTTAAGGCATTAGTCCAGAATTTATCTGGATGTGAGTAGGAAAACCACAAATAGACCAAGAAAACATAAATAGTAAATATGGTTTTACAATATATCTAAGAAGTTCTAAATCTTTCCAAAGACTCCAATTCCAAATGCAACAACCTCTGGCCTGCTAAGCCTCTGATATCCAGGACTAGGCTAGACACACTGCAACATCAGAGATATTCTACAGTCTCTGACAGTGTACAAACACTTTTATCTACTTGGTAAGCATACATTTTCATGGTGTAGTGCTCAAGTACTAAAACTTTCTTTTTTTAAATTTGTTAGTAAATAGGGGCAAGTATGGTGCAGAAGTACTAAGCAGTCATACTACTACAAATATTACCACACAACATAACTATCTGCTAGATACATATACTGCATCAAGAACTGTAATTCAACCACCCACTTGATGAGCTCGAAGAGCTTTGGATCCGACACTTTAATGTTGCGAGCAAGGTTCCAAGAGAGATGCACCATGGGAACTATGCTCTTGAAACTCTGCAGCTTGTTCCACTCATAGCGCTCAATTGCAAGTTGATATTGGCGTGCTGTAAGGGGGCCCACATTCCATGCTATGTTGTTGCACCACCCCACTGCCTGTACCCAATGGACACATCCTGTTGAAACAATGATAAATTTACTTCATTTTTTACTCTTATTTTACTGAACTTCATAACTGAGTAGTAGACCTTACTTCACTTCAGTGAGGTGTCACATTGTTAAATAAAAAAATTCATAGTCTGATATAAAAAAACTTGAATTATTAAAAAGACTGAAAAAATATCACAACTTTCTCCCTCCACACAATGTGTGCTACATGTCTGTACTCTACTACACGCACCTGCATTAACCCAAACAAGGTCACCAGGGCGCTGGAGGAACCTGTATACAGGAATGTTTTCCTCATAGAGATCTTCTAGTGAAGGCCACCACGACCCATGCAGATAATTGATGTTGTTCCGCTCACATAAGCTATACACTACACCCCAGTAAGCATCTGGCACTGCAAACCATTCACAGTCCCCAGGGCCAATATTGATATTAATTGAGCAGAAGTTGTTGTTCTCTTGGTGGCCAGGTGTCCTGCTGCCTGGCACCTATTCACATAACAGAAAAACCTTGATAGTCAGTCATAAGGGGCATAGACGATATGTTACTAAAATATAAGCAACCATTTTTATGTGTTTCACCACAAAACCATTTTCATTTCATTTATATTTAGATCAACCTCTGTTCTTGGGGTCTTCCAGTTATCTGGCTTAACCATCTTTCTTATTCTGTCCATTCAAATTTCCTATGGTTTTTCATAGTTCTCCTTATGCCCTACAGTAAAAATGGTCTATGACCACCATCACAATTATGTTCTTAGTAATTCTGTATTCACAATCATCAACTATATAATTACTGCAGTTGGCAGAGTATTGTTAAACTGACCACTCAGAAATATACAATGCCAAAAATTAAAATATGTGGAGCTCCTTTAATGCCGTGCATCTCAAAGCACAAGGATGGCTGTACATTATACACACCTTCATGTAGAGCTGGACAGTGTTCATGCCAAGAATGACATGACCAACATGAGACAACATGTTACATGCTGAGACAACACGGGCAAATGAAGGAAGCTTCATCAATTCCTGCAGCTGAGGTCGCCACTTTCGCTCATCCGAGAGATCAACATTGGTCCCAAATCGAAGCATCTTGGGTCCTGTTTTTCCTGTTCCACCTGGGCCCCCACCTCCTCCCAAACTACCTTT